CCCCCCAAAAAGTAACATCGCCGTCACAAAGGAGGCTAGAAGAAAATTATGATTTGGAAGTTGCTTCAAAATACAGAAGCATCCCTTGAAGATGAAAATTTGGATTAAGCAATTTTCCACAAATACCAAAAGTTCTGTAAGTCACTCACTCTCTCTTGCTGCTTCTTCTTCTTTGCCTGAGCCTTTTCAAGCATCTTCTGGGCATACTTGTCAGATTGTCCGTTTGCTTCCTAAGTAAGGGTTTAGAACAGATGTAGTGTTTCTCAGTCTATAGAATATTTATGACATACATTCCAATTACCTATATGCTATTCTTTGGTAGTAACAGTACTTTCTTCATAAATCTTATATCACTGTGTAGATATCAATTTCTCATAAAACAACACTTCTGTACCCTCATCAGCTTGATACAAGTTACATGTATAAGATGATTTTAGTATTTCATAAGCTGCAAATTTTCTCTTCAAATCATTGGTATAAACAACCTGAAAATATGTTGAGAATCTTTTCTGAGTCATGATTGTTCCCTGTGTGATTGGTACTCACCCCTTTGCTCTTAGACTTGCTCTCTGTGCCTGTCAGTTTCTTCATCAGGTGAAACAGTCCACCACCACCTCCTCCTGAGGCCTTGGGCTTGTCTCGTAGTTCCTGTGATGGTTCTTGTGGGTTATCTGTAGGCATTTCTTCAGGTGTTTCTTCTGGCATGACCTGTATTTCCTGTAGGGTTTCTGCAGCCTAACACAAACAACAGGTCCATGGAAGTGTTCTGACATCCATGCACTGTTTGCTTTTTGAAACATGCAACATCTTAACTGTGCATCTTTTTTGAACTGTGCAACTTTGTAACCGTGTACATGTAGTACCTTTTTAAACTGTGTAACTTTCTACTGTGTACCTTTTTCAACCGTGCATTTTTCCAACCGTGTACCTTTTACTATACTTGGGGACACCACTACACAGTTGAGAATGTTTTTTACCCCATTTCCACTAGCCATAATTGACCGGTTTAGAAGTTTGACATTACTTGTTAGAAGTCTATAATGCATACTTCTAATGCTCAAGGACAAGGGTTAGCAAGAAACTTGGAAGTTGAACTTACCTCTGCCATGGTTATGTGCCTGAGAATGGGTCTTGTGGGAAGATTCTTGATAACGTCAGCTTAGCCCGAGTGTGTTGCTGATGTGTTAGCAGGTATCGTGAAGATGACGTGTTATGACGCATGCGTTTGTCTTGACGAGTGTGCATCTCATCATTTAATCATCGGTGTCCATCATGAAGAATTTATAGTTTCCAGCAGGAAACGAGTAACATGATACATGTACAGTATTTCATTATTTTGCCCCTCCAATGATAGGTGAAGGAGGGACCCTTATACTGGCCCATACTTTCCTTTTGTGATTGAAGATCTTAATATGTTTGGTGGCGAGACTGCAGCTATTATCAATTTAACCTCCTAAATGGACGTTAACAGAAACGTTGCTTGAAAAAGTGGTGATTCAGCTGATCAGTTAGTGGCAGGGATTCTTCACTTGTATAGTAATTGCCTACTTCAGTACAGTAGTCAGTTACAAGAAGTAATTGTAAGGACTAGTGCGCAATTCATATTGTCAGAGAGAATGTCATTCCATAAAACTGCTGATGTCGTCACATACTGCTGAGGTCATCGGTACCGAAGCTAATTTGAGAGATACTAAATAATTTCATCTCTTGGGTGAATAACTTTGTTTTATGGATCTGGAGAGTTTTACGTGTTTCACTAACAGGCCATGTGTTGTCACACTCTGGGAATATAGTTGATTTGTGTTGTAGCAACTAATCCTATCCCCCTAACATGACTGATTTTCAAAAGTGTTACCTGCTGCAAAGTAATGCTCATAAAAGGCTTCATACTTTAAGTCAATACAAATTTAAAAATCTAAAAAACACAAAGAGAGGAAATGTAACACCATTAATTCCAAAATTATAATTACATGTATTTTATATTTCTTCATGAGCCACAGACCATCCTACATGTCATAATTAACTCCAAATATGGCGCGCAGACATTAGACATTATTACACAAGTTTGTTAACAATGAACTGACAGAGTCTCTCAGCAAACTGCCGCTCATTGTCTGACATTCTCCTGTAAGATTGTAGAGACTTCTCCAGGCCTGCCTGGACATCAACAGAACGGAATCTTCTTCCTGCATGGAAAATATTCTATAGTTGGTACATGTAACATAATTCGACTTTATACACAGTTTATTTACATAACATAACTCTCCACAATAGTGTCAGCAGTATAGGGTCCTCATAGTGCCTTGTGGAACCCATATGGATAGCTGTGAAACAAGCCTCTACCAGCTGCAGGCTTCAGAAGTGGTTGTGGAAGATTGGTCAAAATGACAGATAACATTGCCAAAGGAGTTAGTCTGCTAAAGTCTACTAACTGTACTCCTTTAGTGGATTAACTTCCCTGGCATGTTATCTGTCTACTAGTATTTGGCCAAGTTCTACTCTTTCCAGCCACCTCAGAAGCCTGGTAGAGAAATTAAAAATATGCAGCCATTTCTGCAGCCATACCTCTCATGGAGTAGCCTATGTCCTGGATGAGTCCTTCTGACACCCACAGTAATGGACACTCCAGGTAAGAGTCTACTATGATTCCCTTCTGAACCTTCATGTACACACCTAATGGCTGGGGAAAAAACAATAAAGGAATTGTGCTTTTAGAACATTGCTGATGACAACCTCCCAGTGAAAACAATAAGAGAAACTAGTGGCTTGGTCAATGTGAAAAATACAAATATCAAAATTTGAAACTTTGTAGCTCACCACAGCTAGTCCGTTGACAGGTTTTCTTAAACATATGTTGAAAGGAGGTGTTTTTCCATATATCCACTCCCAAGACTGAAAGGAAAATAAAATGAGTCTTCCAGATTGACTTTCTCTTTATGCAATGTATCAGCATAGACAAACTACATTGTAAAACACAGAAATTCTCAGATTTAAAGCTCATATCCCATCCTTACCATGCTTTCAGTATGCTGGACTTTCTCAGTCATTAGCATCTATTTCTAGTCCTTTCAGCTATAACTTGTGGGAAACATGACATTCCTGACCAATCCGAGTGACCAAGATTCACTTCTAATAAGCACTTTTAAAAGGACTTTGGCTCTAGCTTTGAAGACAGGTGTTAACTAAAATTCATTTCACAATACATCACTTCATCATACCTTCAGTTCTTCTGTAATTTTTCCAATACCTGGGTACAGGGCCTCACTGGTGGGATCCACATCACATACCTGGGGAAAAAAAGGAAAGGCATGTTGGAGATTGCTTCACAAAAAATGCTAATTTTAAAAATGCTTGACAAAAAAATTATACCTCACCTGTTTCATCTGCCCTTGATGATTTTCCATGAAATATTCAGCAATGGTGTCCCCTAAAACTCCAGTATCAATGGTAGGGTCCACTTCGTTTAAGTTTATGACCTCTGACCTTATACTTTCAGTGGCAGTGGTCTTCAAGCCATCCTGAAGTTGAGACAAAAAAAATTAATATTTTTCTGTGTTATGTAATAATAAGTATATCTGAAAGTCATGTGTAATATGCAGAATGGAAATACTGTAACCTAACAATTTTGTCATTGCACAAATCTGTTTGAAATAGAAAATGAAAAGTAACACAGCGGATAACCTACGTATCCAGAGACTAGGACATCCTTCAGTACTTGTGTGTTGACATGACACAGCAGGGTACAGTGATGGTAGGCTGTCTTACGGCCCAGCTTGGCAGCAGTTCCTGACAGCTTTTAATACAAGAAGGAGAAAAATGTGCACTTTAGACAGAGATCTTTGAAAAGCACTTATTGACATAGAAACACCTTTCTCAAGTTTTGAAACTAAGTCTCTCCTTTTTCTCTTTTTAGTATTGGTCATCGGTTGTCATTAGATACAGGATCACATATACATGTATCTCAAGAATGACATTTGTGACAGGTTGTAGTATTGTACCTTGTACTTGTCCTTGAGTACTAAGTCATCCCTCTTGTTGACAGACAGGTCCAGACTTGGCCACCTCCCCTTCAGTGCTGTCACCAGGTCCTGAAGGTTCTGTTTTCTTCTGTAGGTGTCTCTGGAGGTCATGAAGGTCACATTCAGGTTTCCCAAGTCCTGTTGGGATACAAAAGCTTTAATGAGCTGTCTGAGGGCAACTTGGCTCCTTTTTGTCTTCGTCAGAAGGACTATGAAATTGTCTCGCCGGAGTGTGGGGAACTGCGGATTTTGCGATATAACTCTGGAAGGCATCATTCGACGTCCATGATTTTTGGCAGGCAGATTACCGCTGTTGAGGCCAAAGTCAAGTACAAGTTTCGGCTTCGTGGGGGGTCCGTGCGTCACGTTAGTGCACCTTTTGTGTTTGTGGCTTGTTAGCAAGATAACTCAAGTATTTGTAAAATGTTGATTATAATTCTTGGTGTGGTGCTTACTATTGTCGGGACCAAGGTTAAGTTCGTAACTGAGCATCGTGGGGGGTTTCGTTGTGACTACAGGGGGCATTTTGTTAATTTTTCTTGTGAGCAGGATAACTTTTGTATGTGTGGATGGAAGTTAATGAAATTTGATAGGCATGTTACTGTGATGGTCTCCAAGATTGAGTTCAAAGATGAGAGTCGTGGAGGTCGTTATGTCCCCGTAATAGGACCTTTTGTGTTTAGAAATCCCCACCTACATCTGCTTGGAGACAGCCGACAGCTGGATATAGCCGGGGAACCCCATAATGGGATGGGATCAGATGACGTTACATTGAGGGATTGTACTATAACTTCAGCAGGGGGAGGATAGGTTGGACATATGTCAGGTTATTTTCTTCGGCCGGCCACACCAAGTAATTGCTATGGATGACGTCCACTGGAGACCTTAAATCTAATTACCTTGAATTTAAGGCAAGCGCGCAATAAAAACACGAAGGGCCGAAAAACGAGATGCCTAGATTTGGAATATACTAACTGTAGAAGTACAAATGTTAGGACACAAAGAACACAAGAAACAAGTCTTCTATTTGTCATAAAGACAAATTAACAAAACAGCAGTAGTCACCCCGTTCTGATTCTTTCCTTTATAACATCTTCTCTTATTATATTTTGCGGCGCTGTTGTGACACTTTTCAACACAGTAAGAATTTCTTGAACGTTTTTTTCCAGTAACAGTCCAAACTCAAATAACGTGGGGGGGGGCTAACACGGGTGACGACGCATCTGTATAATCTGCGGCAAACCGTTTCAGGGTGTTCTGTACCATAAAAATAGTACAGAGATTCTTTTGTTCTTTAGACCAAATTGATTGTTAAAAAGAGTGAAGAATACGCATGTTAATTTCTCTAGAACGATGTACCTCTGACGAAGACATGAGATCTCCGACCTCTAGTTATAGTTAAAATCATCATGATGGTACAATGGTGTCTCATTAGGCCTATCCAAATACTGCAAGTATGAACTTCCCATCATTTACTAATATCTTATCATAACAAAATATCCTCATTCATTATTCACATTTTTAATCCTTGTTTGCATAATATATGTAATAATGGCAATCATCATTTAAGCTATTTACATTCCACAAATCACAATTATCTGTCAATGCGTGTGGAACTTCTGGTGTAATTCCTAGATTTCTTGCAGAGTGATTATGTACTACACCATTATACTATTAGGCTTGCCCCTGAGGTGTTGCCAAAAAGCTCTCCCTACATGGTAGACTGTTCCCCCTCCACTTCTCCTCCTGACCAGGTGGATGCCCTGCTCCTGTAGTCTCTTCACTTTACACTCAGCCCAGGGGTTCTGGTGACGACCAATCACAACCTGGGTATCAAGACATTGTACTGTTAGGGACTACGTACTCCGTAGCAATTTTCAAAAACCATTATTGAAAACTGACAATTCTTATTTTTTATTAACACATCTGTCGAAGCAGTTAAATAGAACATTTCAGACAATGACTACCGATATATCATGGTTGATCAAAAAAGATGACATAAATATGAGAAATGTTTGTAATAAATAATGTTTTTGATTTGATCAGGATTGGTCTTTGCTGAACAAAGGAGTCTTCCATACTTACTGTAGGCTCATTTCTCCAGAGTAGCAGAATATCTGTGTCTGTGAAGTCTTGGTTCTCATACAACCTGAAATGTGGTAATTTGAGAGGCCTCATAATGTTCAACTTTCATGTACAAGTCAATCATGCTACCCGAGTTAAAAATATTAAAATTCTGAATTTAATAGTAATTTCTCATTCATTTTCATACACACTCCAGATGAGAACAGACTTACCAGTCTTCAAAAGCCAGATTCGCAAATGGATCTGTTGAGGTTGATTTGTACACAAGTCCCTGTAAGGACATAAGGAGTTTAATGTTTATGTTATTGCATGACATCATAATCACACAGTTTAATTGGAGCTTATCCAGACTATTCCGCATTTGGCTAGTATCCTGGTAAACTATATAGAATCTGGTACTCGGGCTAGATTTGACCTCTTGTTGTACATAGACACTATGTTCTAGTCCCAAACGTAGTCAACTTTGGCATGACAACATTCAAACACAGATACGAAAGAAATTAAGGCTGGGGAGGGATTAGCCGTGGCGACTCTTGATTCGGGCAATGTAAGCCCGAATCAAGAGTCGCCACGGCTAGGGAGGATTTCTTATATAGGTTTTTGTAAGGGGGAGGGGTGTGGTTATCTGTGTCAGTCTGTGAACTTATGGGTACACCATACAACGTACTACGCCATCAATTCCTTATCATCACAACTAATGTAGATTATGTTGATGAACAGCACATAACATTTTACCTTTGGTTTCGGTCTGGTGTTGGGCTTAACGCCAGAGCCGCTGTCCGGGATAGCAGACGAAAAACACCGGCGGTGGGCGGTGGTTCTTTCGGACAAAGTTTTACACCTAAATTTCACGTGTTTTCCGATGATTTCTGTTTTAGTAACACTAGAACTGATTAAGGATCGTTCTGGTATACAATGCGATGTTTTAAACGAGTGAAACAGCGAGAGAGAGGTAGGAAAACGCCGTGCGGAAAATGTAAACAGAAACGTGCCTCGTCTACAGGGCGCAGCCATCTTGGATTGTCCCGGTGGCTTCTGGGATATTTCACCTCGCCGAGGGGTCATAGTTTGACCTACTCAATGTTTGATGATCAAAACGTTATGACTAAGTCATGGAACGGATGAAATTTCATCCCCATTTACTATTCCACTAAAACCGGTGCAAGGAATGTATGTTAAATTCGACAGGTAAAAGCTACTTTTAATAGCATGCTAAGCAGCTTCGATCGCTTGGCATACTCAATGAAGAACAAAAATAAGGACCTCAACACTCTTGAAGACGCCAAATTTATTTTCAGTGCTCAATCATTTACACAAGATATCACTACTGCTTTTGTTTTTGTTTTGAAGCCTCTCTCAGCTCAGTGTAGCATCGTCAGAGATGAACTCGGCTAAGTTGGTTGGACCTAGGGAAGGCTGATCAAACAGGTGTCATAGCGGTAGCGGCGGTCCCTGGGGAGGGCAAAAGACAAATTTCAGCGTACATCGTTTATAAAAGCACAGGTCGAATTGCACGGTTTGTCTGATTGCAAAGAATGACTCTGGTTTGTAAAGTTGTAACACAAGAAACAATGTGCAATGCGAAATGTGACAATTTCATTCCAGATGTCCGGCGAAGAATTTGACATGGCGAATACTTCATGGTGCTAAACAAGGGAACCGACAGACAGTCGCCCACAGCGTCCGTTAATATTCAAAATTTCAAATCAAATACTTTGGGCATTAGATAAACACTACATTTTCTACAGTTCTCTTCCCTTTAAAGTGAAGGCCGCCGGACGAGCATTAAAAATATTCAAAAAGTGATTGAAAAATTTTGTGAGCTTACCCGTAGTCGTTGTCATGGTAACTGTGCACGCCCCTCAGGTAGAAGCCGTCAGAAACGTTGAAGTCGCCCGGCTGACCTAGGCCGTTGGTGTAGTTGGACAGGACGTTGTTAGACGTCACCATTCCGTAAACCTTCGAGCACCGGACCTTTGATAGTAGGGGAATATATCATATTTAAGTACCACCTGTTTCTTATTAATTATTCTGTTAAGAATTTACTAGTATATGAAATGCAGTCAACGTTATATGTCATACAAGCACAAAAATAGTTAGAAATACTAGTAATTTATATTATTGTGACACAGTATGTGCTTTTTATCCCCGTTTCCACAGCGATTTTTGCTCGTTAATAAACTTGGCGCAGCACACATGTTTAAAAAATTGGCACAATTTCAAAAGATAAATGCCGTCCAAAAGTACACTTTGAGGTTGATGGGATAACCACAAAGCGCCGAAAAAGGGCCCCATCTTTCAAAATTTCAGGATCTTTTGAAATAAGCTTTTTTTTTACAACAGACTGCGAGGCAGAGTGGCAGGGCTCTTTCACAAGGCGCTCTCAACAAAACTTGAGCGCTGTACATAGTATTTTTGAGATCAATCAAAATCCAAGACAAGAACGAGCGAACAAACTCACGTTCCACCTGCGGTCCTCCCGTCTGTTGCTGTGCTCGCTCTTGAAGCCCGTGATGATGGCGTTAAACGGACACTGGTAGTTCATCACACTGTCATAATCATTGATCCATCCGGACCAGAACAGCTCATGGAAGACGGACACCCCGGGGATCGGCTCGCAGTCGAACCGCCAGATCCTGTCTTTAGCCGCGGTGCAGTAGGCGTTCTGGACGCGCCTGATGACCTGGAAATCCGGGCACAGGAACGTGAAGGTGTTGTCCCAGGTAGTCTGGGCACCCGGCAGGACGTTCGCGGGGTCCGGGCAGAGGGGCCGGGGCCGGGGTCGGGATTCTGACCGGCGGCGGCTGTGGGGACCTCCTCCTCGGCCACGTCGGCGGAGCCAACAGTCGCCCAGTCCGACTATCAGTCCAACCACGGCGATAGCCAGGAGAGCACGGAAGAGCGTAGATGCCATGTCGAGATCTAAGAAGACCTTTTCATTAACAAGACGGCTGAATTTTGTATGACATATGCGCGACGATCCGCCCAAAGTGCCTGTCTGTGCCGCAAACTAAATCTCTTCAGGTCCTTGCGTTATTCAAATACACGTTTGCCAGGTTCTTTCCGCATTCTGAGAAGGGGTGGATTATGTCATTGTTCGCCAGCGGTTGGCCGTACCGAGTTTTTATGAGGAAACGGCGGTTATTTTTTTGCAGTGTCTGTAAGTTCAATGACTTTGAAGCTAACATCCGGTGTCAATCCCAGAGATGCGTTGTTGGCAGTAAGGACACAGCAAGGTTATGGATGACATCCTCAGCAGACTCCAAATCTAATGCGAAAAAAACAAGGTGGGCAAAAAAAACAAGATTCCTACATTTTCAAATTTTGAGACCATATACCTTGTTAAACAAAAATTGAGGCAACTAAACCTGATATCACAACCAACAGGTCCTGTATTTAACAGTATTACGTACCTGTCCTTGTAGATGTCTTCACATCAATGTGTGGAAAAGCCAACATAGGCAGCTACTGGGACTCATATGGGATGGAAAATCTTATACTGTCAACACTTGCCATCATACGCGAGAAATTGTGCCTCAAGTTTGCTGGATTCCTTCTGGTCTCTGAACTGGTAGACGTTTATGATATATTTGCCTATTTTCGACTTGTTGGCTACCGTCAGAGGCTAGGGCAACAATTTTTTTTTTTCTCTCCAAAATCAGGCGACAATCAATACGCGCGCTATCATCATGTGGCCTACATTAGTTTTTGTACCACACGCTCGTGTTTTCTAGCTGTACTCTGGGGTATAATCATTGATGTTCTGATAGATTTATAAATTTGTTTACCAAGCTATAAGAAACAGACGAATATATGTACTGTACTATCATAACTGAAGAATCAAAATGATTTTTTATAAATCAAAATATCAGATAACAGTTATTTCCTTTTGAGAACACAATTACAGCAGTGACAGAAAACTCTTTACAGAAACGTCGTTGCCAGCATGCGGTTGGAGTGGATATGGACAAAAAAGACGTGTACATCATATAGTTGCAACGAAAAGAATTTTTATTCAAAACTGACCAAGAAAAAACAACAAAAGTTTCACACGTATCTAGCAACTAATTTACTCCAATGTACAATTTACTGGCTTGGTGTCCTGATAAGGTTGAAAAAATAACAAAAGTTTCACACATATCTAGCAACTAATTTACTCCAAATACTGGCTTGTAGTCCTGATAAGGTCGAAAAAATAATGCCTTTACGACATATTTATCAAACCACGCTTTAGTATGCACTTTATGAAAACAATATACATTTCATTGCCTGTTACCATTCAGGTATGCGTTACATTCACATTCAAATTTCAGTTCTAGCATATCTTTATCTGGTGACATTTCCTCCCAGTGTGAGAGTAATCTGGTTAGAAGTTACAGTCAGCACGCGGACCGCTATAGGATTCCTAAAGGTTGTCGTACAATTCTGATGTCGCATTTTTAAGCGGACTGTGACACTTCAGACCGTGTACTAACCACTAAAATGATCTAAGACGACCCTTTCAGTAACAAGACGACTGAATTTTATATGACATATGCGTGACGATCCGCCCAATGTTTGCCATTATAATTGCACGACGATCCTATTCGCACGACGAATGTGACCGCACTCTAATTCTACGCTTTAGCCACTCGTGCTGACAAAGTGTCAAATTGACTTCGTATGGTTGCTAGATCTAGAAGTATTACTGCTATATGTAATACAGTTTATGTGGACTATAAAATCTTAATTTCAAAACATGTGATTACCTATTGGAAGAAAATACTACCATCCCTGACTTACTAAGTTACTACATACATGTAAGTCTGTCAGTCTAAACACCAAAAATATAGGTTAAAATACTAATTTTGTTGTTACATGGCGCCACATAAGTATTTAAAAAACGGAATGAATGATAATGATAGCTTGAAAAGAATTGTGACACAGACTGGTCATGGAATGCAGCATATTTTCACCACTTTTACAGGCGGTGTCGTCTGAACCTAGGGCAGCTCGATCAAGCAGATCTGGTACTGGTAACGTCGGTCCCTAAGGAAATTAAACAACAAGACACTGTCAGAAAAAAGTCACAGAAAAAGGAAGAAACAACAACAACAAAAAAACAAATAAACAAAAATATGTAGTTACAACGCCAATGATGGTGAGAAAGGGGACGCGTGTAAAAATGGTGTTTTTATTTACCCGCGGCCGCCATCGTGGAAACTGTGCATGCCCCTGAGGTAGTACCCGCTGGGCACGGTGTAGTCACCGGGTAGGTCGAACTCATTTGCATAGAGGGAATGGGCGTGGTTTTTTGTCGTCATACCGGACACCTTGGAGCACTTCATCTGTAGAAGAAATTCGAAATCATGTTTGAATACAACATTCCAGTCATTAAATGAAATACAAGCTGTAACATGATATGTACACAATGTTCGATACCTTTCTAGCTAGCAGCGCTAAGACGATAGACTCATAGAGGCATGTATCGAGCCACTTTATAATAAAGGGTTAATGCACTGCCCCGAGTTGTATATGGTGTCATAACTGCATGAGCAGCTGCCATAACCACCGAATAAACCACCGTGTGAGCGAAGCGAACGAGGTGGTTTATGAGGTGGTTATGGCAGCTGCCCATGCAGTTATGACACCATATACAACGAGGAAAAGGCAGTGCATTAAAATTATTATCATATAGCCTATCCAAACTGTCAATCAACACAATTCCTGTTTGAAATACAACAGCTTTAATATATATACATACATAAAAATACATTCGAATATATTATACGCTTTAAAACAATATGGATAATTTCATTTAATGCAAATTGTAGTTTAAATGAAGCTAAACAAAAAAGTTTATTGGACAGAAAAATGCTACAAAGGTTTACAGAAAGAGTCGCATGCCCCTATACCCTATAACATAATGGTATCAGCCATAACACGACATGTGCTGTTATTCCGCCATAACACCACATGTGCTGTTATCGGGAAATAACAGCACGGGTATCCGGGCCTCTGATTGGTCCGCGCCGTCCGGCTATATGATAATAGTCTTTATTAGCAATCCTTTAATAATGTATCAAATGACCAGAGTTAACATCGATCACGTTGGCTATCTTAAAATTCTAACATATCTATTTAAAATTCTAACATATCTATACGCTGCGAGTGCTTTTCTTCTTTTCATCATGATCCACAAAATCGAAGGCAAAGCTTGAATTCTATAAAGCTCTGCATTCATGCGCGTATTACGAACCTGTAAAGCAAGGAAAAAATAAAAACTCACCTTCCACTTGCGGTCGTTGCCGCTGTGTTCGCTTCTGAAGCCGGTGACGATGGCGTTGTACGGACACTGGTAGTTCATGACGCGCCTGTACTCGTTCACCCAGGACGACCAGAAGGCCTCGTCGAAGCGGGAGATGCCGGGCACAGGTTTGCACTCGAACCGCCAGACTCGGTCTTCTACCGTGTT